TATTATTATTATTATTATTATTATTATTATTATTATTATTATTATTACATTTCTATGCCGCCCCTTGCCAAAGCCTCTACTCCTTGAACCTTCACTGGAGACATGAAAGAGGTGAATTACACCCTTTTTCAGTGTAGAGAAAGTGAAGGAGGCATTTTTCTCCTTCTCCCATACCCCTCAAACCCGGGCTTATCCCATGAAGCTGATTGCTGAGAGGTTTAGGACAGATAGAAGGACTTCACACAACTTACGCAGCTAAACTATAGAAGTCACTGCCAGGGGAAGTGGTGATGGCTGCCAGTCTGGATGGCTTTGAAAGGGGATCAGACAGGTTCCTGAGGGAGGAGGCTAGCAGTGGCTGGCTATGTGCTGCTTCCTTTACCAGGGGTGGCCTGCCTGCCTGCATACAGCAGTGGCTGAGGAGCTTGGGCAGGAGGAGGTCTTGCACCCATCCTGCCTGATGGATCTTGAGGACAGCTGGTTTGCCACCATGTGAATGGAAACAGATCTTGAAAACATCAGTTGGGGCATCATCATCTCTATCTTCTGCAGTGAAGACAGATGTAAAGAATTCATTTGTTCTCCTTTAGCACTGCCAGTATCCAACCATTGAACTGCCTTTCTAGCTGGTTTCCTGCTTTTGAGATATTCAAAGAATTCTTTACTGTTGGCCGTGATGTTGTTAGCGATATATTCCTTAAAATATTCCTTAAAATCTTTTTGGTGTCTCTTCTCCCTTATGCAAGCTTGAATTTGATTTCCTCATATAAGCAAGACTTCCATTTTCTGAAGAAATCCTTTTCCCCCCTTATGCTTTCCTCAACCTTTCCTAGCCTGTAAGACACTGTAGCTGAGCTTCTATTATTGTGTTTTTGAGTACTGTAACTCCAAAACTTTTGGCAGGGAATTAACCCTCTTGACTCTCCCTTCACCTTCCTTTATAATGAGCCTCTCATTTTAGATAAATTTCCTCTTGGAAGTCAACTGCAACTGTATTGGACTTCCTTGGTAGCTTTCCACTAAAATATTTTATCTAATAAGACTATGATTACTGTTTCTAATTGGTTCAATAGAATTTACATTTTATGCTAGCTTCTGAGTGACATCACTCAGGATCAAATTCAGGATCACTTTCGCCTTTGGTCATTTTTGTGACCAACAATTAGGATACTGAAAATTTAATCTTTGTTGTAACTGGAACAAACATCCCCTAAGTATGGGGGTAAACTGAGGTTATCCATTATTACAACACCTGGTCATTTGGATGCCTGTCTGATTTCAGTCATCTTGAGCATTCTGGTGTAGGCAACAATAAGCATGGTCCTAGTACTAAAATCTTCACCATCCCTTATAGATGATTCAACCCAAATCAGAATGCTTTCCAGTTTCTGTTGATCTTCCCCCAGAGTTCAGTTTAAAGGCTGCTCTGCCACCTTTTTAATGTTTAGTGCCAGTAGGCTGGTTCCATTTGATTCAAGTAGAACCTGTCCCTCTTGATTCAGCCTGGTTTACACCAGAAGAAGTCTGAGGCTAATTAGAGAATAGTCTGTCCTTTGTCAGTCAACCCAATACTCCCCACAAAAACATTTACACCAGGCAAATCCATTGCACTCTTCAGAATCACTTACTTTGAAGTATTCCATTGATGTCAGTAAGTTGCAGTTCCTTGATTCTGGAGTAGCCCCAAGTTGGCTGTTTTAACACTGTTACTCCTGTACTTCGCAGCATTTCCCCAAGTCTCTTAAGGGATTCCTACTGCCCACACAGACAAGGGATGGTGATATGGTATACTTCAGCATCTGCCCTTATGTATGGCTTGTCTAATCATTTCAAGTTCAGGTCATTGTGGAATAGGTCCATGTAAGATGTTGATGGACAACAATTTCTCTGTGCGAATTTGCTAGCAACATCAAAAATCTAGTTTCACCTGAGGCATTACTGAGAGACAAAACAAGACACATTTCTGCACTATTCCACAGAGAGCCAGCATGGTGTTGTGCTTAGAGCATTGGACCAGGGATCTGGGAGCTCCAGGTTCAAGTCCTTACTCAGCCATGGAGCATCCTGGGTGACTCTGGGCCAGTTACAAACACTCAGCCCAACCTACCTCACAGGGCTGTTGCTGTGAGGATAAAATTAAGAGAAGGCAGAAGCTGAGTTCCTTGAAATGACAAAAAGGCAGGGTAAAAATAAATAAGACTCCAGCCTAGGCCACATCTACACCCAAGTGGTGAAGGAGAGGAAAAAGATTGTTCATAGAAATATTTTGCTGGATCAGACCTATGGGCCCATGAAGTCCAACACTGCTGTCAACATCTCACTATGTAGGACCCACAGGTGGAGCACAATGGTGATGTCTACCGCTTTTTTGTATACCCATCTGATAGCTAGTGTGACTTGTACAGATTGCCGCATTCTCGCTTTCCCCCAAACCTTTTATCATTTTGTTGTGAAGAACTGTACACTTTCCATGATGTGCTACTTTATCTATCTAAAATGTACTGCTAATCTTTTAAACAGTCCTCTAAGCTAAGCTCCATCAGATTTTGTGGAAGTGAGTTAAAGTTGATTATGCATCACATGCATGTTTACCTTCAACATACAGCTATCTAGTTTTGTTGATTGACTGCTATTGTTTTGAATGATGGTAGCTTGTCAATTTATTTTTTCCAAGTAGTTTTTTTTAAATAACCCTCTCTTCAGAAGGAAGGATCATCATAGCAGTTATTTAACATAGAATAAATCCAAGTCAAAGCAACCAACAAGCTTGGGATTACATCTTCTCAGCATGTCCATTTTGTGATGGAACAACCAGATCTGCACACCATAGAATCAAGTAAAAAAGCATATTGGTACTATAATACTTGATGCTTTCAATCCCTTAATAATTTGAAGGAATTGTTTTCAGTTACAGCAAAATCTCATACCATGATCTCTTTATAGCCTTATTAGTTTCCATCACTGACAAAATGAGGTCTGGAGTCTATCCTACCATGCAGTTTTCATTTATGAACATGATCTGACATTCTATAGACTAGAAAACATTTTGGGGCATCATACAATCTGCTTTGGATTTTACCATTCTGAATAAAACTCATATCATTGATATAGTTGGGTACTTTACCACGCACTCCTGCTTCCAGCTCACTTTTTAAAAAATCCTCTAGAGGAGATGATATTATTATTATTATTATTATTATTATTATTATTATTATTATTATTATTACAACATTTCTATGCCGCCCCTTGCCGAAACCTCAGGGCGGCATAGAAATATTCAATCTCCTTTGGCCTGAAGGCCAAATTCCATTCTAGAGAAACTTTTTGGGCACATATTCCACTGACTGGTAGGGAAAGAAAGCTCAGGTGGACCAGATTTAGCTTCGATCTAAGATCCTATGCCCCTGCTTTGGAGATGGTACAGCTAACCAAAGTCCATCTGCTTACAAAATGTCACAATTCAAAGCTCATGTATAGGCCCAGTAAATCCATAAGATGCCTTTTGTAGCTGATAGATCAGCATTCCAAGGTAACAGTTTAATATTGGCACAATGGTGTCCCATATTTCATTGTAATAAACAACTTATCTAGAAATGTGAAAGCAATAGACAATACCTGGTTAAGGCATATGATGTTGGTATGCCCTCTGCTGGCTCCTTTTTACTTGGAAGCCATTTGCTTCTGGAGAATCTGTATTAACTGCAGGTGTACATGCGTTTTTACTCCTCTTGACATGGCAACTAACAATAACAGCTGAAGTGAATTTTGAGAGATTCTACAGCTGCAGAGACCTAGAAACCTGAAAAACACCCACCACCCATCCTTCACCCTGAAGACCTTCTGGTTCATACTGCTCTTGAACTTATATCCTATAGCCATGAATTTCCTATGGATGCATCTTTTCCTGTATGGATTGCTCACATTAAATATATTCATAACTGTAACATCCTATTTTTTCTTCTCTGTTTTGTTTTTTCATTATTAGTATTGTGAAATATTTCTAGGAATAAGTATGAGTCATTTGCCATATTTAGTTTCATATTCAATTCATTGTAACTAAAATGCAAAAACTGGGGGCACAGGAGCTTCCCATGATATACACCACCATAGGGCATCTAAGTGCTGTATCAGTTTCTGGAACGTGCTCAGAAAAATTTACTGCAGACAACATCATTCAGACTTCAAGGGCAACTTCGAGAGCAGTCTTTCCCTCTGTAAGGGTCCGCCCCTGGAGCCAGATGGATCTGAATGGATTCCTGAAGGCCCTGGGGGAATTCCCAGTTGATAAGGCTGGTGCTCCTGTCGATGCCCTAGTCGAACTATGAAATGGGGAAATGACTAGGGCTATTGACACGATCGCTCCTAAGCGTCCTCTTCCGCCTGGCAGAGCCCGTTCATCCCCCTGGTATACACCTGAACTATGGGCAATGAAGCGGGTTGGGAGACGTCTAGAGCGTAGGTGGAGGAAATCACGGGATGAATCTGACTGAACACACTCATTATCGAGCCTATGCTGTGGCGGTGAGGGCAGCGAAAAAGAAATTCTTCTCTGCTTCCATTGCCTCCTCACAATGCCATCCGGTGGAGCTCTTTCGGGTGGTACAAGAGCTGGTTCATCCGGGCCCCAAGAAAGACCCCGTACCACTCTCGACGACCCGCTGTGATGACTTTGCCAAGCATTTTAAGGAGAAAATTGCTCAGATTCGTCACGAGCTGGACTCCACTAGTGACTCAGAGCCTCAGAGGTGGCCGCCAATTATAGACCAGTGGCCAACATCCCATTCTTGGGCAAGATGTTAGAGTGGGTGGTGGCAGGACAACCCCAAGTACTCTTGGATGAGACTGATTATCTGGACCCATTTCAGTCCGGCTTCAGACCCGGGTATGGTACTGAATCTGCCTTGGTCGCCCTGTATGACAACCTGTGCAGGGAGAGACAGGGAGAGTGCGTTCCTGTTGGTCCTCCTGGACCTCTCAGCGGCTTTCGATACCATCAACCATGGTATCCTTCTGGATAGGCTAGCGGGATTGGGAGTTGGAGGCACTGCTTTGCAGTGGTTCCGCTCCTATCTCAATGGCTGATTCCAGAAGGTGGTGCTGGGGGACTATGGCTCTGCGCCATGGCAGTTATGCCACGGGGTTCCGCAGGGGTCCATTTTGTCCCCCTTGCTATTCGACATCTACATGAAACTGCTGGGAGAGGTCATTAGGAGGTGTGGGCTGTGGAATCATCAGTACGCTGATAATATCCAGCTCTACCTCCCTTTTTCAACCAATCCAGGTGAGACAGTGGCTGTACTGAACCAATACCTGGCTGAGGTAATGGGCTGGATGAAGGCCAATAAACTGAAGCTCAATCCAGACAAGACAGATGTCCTGTTGGTAGGCAGTTCGGGCTTCGGGTTAGGGGACCTGGACCTTGTCCTGAATGGGTTGCACTCCTTAGGGATAAGGTCCACAGCTTGGGAGTGCTCCTCGACCCAGAGCTGTCGTTAGAAGCTCAGGTGACAGCGGTGGCGAGGAGCACTTTCCTTCAGCTTCGGCTGATCCATCAGCTGCGTCCCTACCTGGAGAACAAATGCCTGGTGACAGTGACACATGTATTGGTAACTTCCCGATTAGACGTCTGTAACGCGCTCTATGTGGGGCTGCCCTTGAAGACTGTCTGCATACTTCAGTTGGTGCAAAATAGGGCTGCCAGGTTGCTGACGGGGACTGGGCGTTGTTCTCATATAACCCCAGTCCTCCGTCAGCTTCACTGGCTCCCCATTGAAGTCCGGGCCCAATTCAAGGTGCTGGTTATCACCTATAAAGCCTTTAACGGCTTGGGACCTGGTTATCTAAAGGAGCACTTGCATCTATATCTGCCCTCCCGCCAGTTGAGATCGGCAGCAGAGGCCCTTCTCCGGGAACCCTCCGTGAAAGTTATTAGGAGGGTGAGTACCTAGAGGAGGGCCTTCTCTGCAGTGGCGCCCCACTTATGGAATGCGCTCCCCAGAGAGGTCCGCCTGGCGCCGTTGTTATTTGTTTTTTGGCACCAGGTCAAGACCTTTTTATTTAAACGTTATTGTAATTGTTGAATTTATTTATTGATTTTATATTTATGCCGGGATGTCTCCAGATTTTTATGCATTTGTATAGTTATTTGTATTGGAAGCCACCCCGAGGCTTTTGTGAATGGGGCGGCATATAAGTGTTCCAAATAAATAAATAAATAGACTAGACTAGACTAGACTAGACCCACTGTTGGAAATTAGAAGCTTTCAAGCATTACCACAAGCTCCAAGTGGCTTCCCGAGAAGCTGTCAGAGTGCAATAAGTTGAAAACATGTTAACATTTATTAAGAAGAAATGGGAAAGTAAATCCATGAACATAAAATACAGATAATCCTTGGACTGAAGAACAGTCACGAAACAATTTCATTTCTGTCTTTGCTCAGGCCATTGAAAAGGTCAGAAAAGAGTAAGTGCACAGCACTGGAACACAAAAGAGCTTTAGGAAATCAGTGACTGTATTTCGTTACGGATATGTTCGGTATGGTTTTCCAATTCAGTAATTTTCTGGTTAACTTCCTTTTTCTAGGAAAAATCCAGAAGAAAACTCCAGTTAGTAAATAATAAAAAGGCAGTTTGCCAGGTCTAGGAAGAACTATAAAGGGAGGTCTTTGCAGGTAATAGGGACAAGTGGGGCAACTCACTTGGAGAAGCCAAAAAAAAAAAAAGGGAAAGCTATACCACAAGAACAGCAGATTGGCCTCCAAGTTGTAACCAGATGAGTCAAGAAAACCACCTTCATATCAAAGTGTTTCTGTACACACACTACTCATCACTTGGAGCAGAAGAAGTTCTGGTGCTATAATCCTAATTTTGAAATTGCAGGATGCACAAGGATCCAAGAGGTGTCAGACTAAACTAATATGCAAGCTATACTTACAATCATATTGATCATTCTTTCTTTGCTGAGTTTCAAAAGCTCTTGTAGTGTCAGCTGAGATATATCTTTCTGGAGTGCAAGAAACGCACAGTTGGGGGAGTGTCGACGGTGCTCTTCCCTAGAAATTAGAAGTACAAGCTATATTAGCACAATTGTCCCCACATGCTAAATAGACATCTCTGGGAATGTCTGGCAAAGGGTTGCTGATAAACCACAAAAAAATCAAGCTGCAGAATACCACACTTACTTGAACCTGTTTCCCAGCAGTCTATGTTTATGTTCCAATTTATGCTATTTACTTACAATCATATCCATAAAATGTGATCACTACACCTAGCCAAGTCTTGCATTGCTTTTGGAAGAGGCTTGGGCTTCTGCCATGTTGCCGAGGAATATGTATTCCATCAAACATTTTCTTTAGCATCCAGTCGAACACATGAATAGTAAATGTTAAAGAATACTCTCAGGTGATCTTAGTGATCATTATTAGATTGGAGGGTAACCTTTCAGATTATATTATGTGTCTCAGAATTTATAGGCTAGAACTAGTACCTTGAGTTGAAGAAAAGAGCCAGTGCAAATACTGAAACTCTGACTCAATGTGTTCACTGACAAGCTCCTACTCACCAGAGGGCAGGTCAGAACATTCTGTTCCAGCCCTGATGCCCTCCAGATATTTTAGATTATAACTTATACAATCCCTTGATTGACCATATTGGCTGGGGCAGATGGGAATGACAGTCCACAGTAGATGAAAGGAGCTGGGCCTGTAGACTGAAAAGACATCCCTGGAAAAGGCAGATTTCTTTTTCGTAGGGACACTCTCAACACTCAAAAGTGGACACCAGCTGTGCAAACGGCATAGCCCTAGCTGATCTTATAACAACTCCTGCCAGCCATGTTGACTAGTGGGGAATGGTCAAGGAAAGCTTTACTGCAACTATATCAATTACTGAAACAGCATACCTGATCCACCTGCATTAAAGGAGCATGGATGCTTGCTGGGAAAAATCAATTCTGCAAATGAAACAAATCCACTAAATCCGATCTCCACAGTGTAGCAATTTCCAGACTTGTGATAGCCAGTCTTTGATGTCTGTTAAAATTTCCTATATTGCAGGGTGGCCAGACTTGCTCAACAAGAGAGCCACATATGGTAAATGTCAGATATTTGAGAGCCATAAATGGGCAGCAGCGGGCAGTGCCTGTGGGTGGTGCGTTGCAAGTGAGTGCCCGTGGGCATCAAGCCACAAGCTGCAAAATAAACTCAAAGAGCCACATGAAGCTCCCAAGCCTCGTTTTGGCTACCCCTGCTATACTGGGTCTGTTTTAAAGTAAACCACGTCTCTTGGCACACTACAACTGAAGAACACCAGGCTTAGCTATTCATGGAACTCTAATGCTACAGATCCATCATTTCCTTTAGAGAATGCCAAAAAAGAACCCAGTGAAGAGCCCTTGTGTGCATTACTGGCTTGCACAGCAGCCAGGAGGATTCAGCCTCATTTAATGCCACACGCTGTGGTCCAGGGGGGCTTGCACAGATTTGTTCTGTACACTTTGTAATTGCAGTTCACACCACACTGCAGAATCTAAACACCTGCTGCTGTGGACAAAACTCCCAGATGTTCAAAAATCAAACATAATCTGCCTGTGACAAGCAGTCTCATTTGCTCTGGAGGGCCTGCACTGAGACTAAAAAAAAGGGAATATGAAGACAAGTTATGTATTGCTATCATCCTACAACCAATCCATGCATCCGGCTCCATCATCCTTGTAATAGCAGACAGCCATTATGCTTGCAGTGGTGCTATATAGTGGCATTGCAACTCTTCGTATCCACATTCTAAGATACATACATGGGGTCGTCATCAGGCTCCCATCCTTCCAACTCCTTAAAGCATATGAAACACTGGGTCACATCAGGTGCATTCTCACTAGGGCAGTGAATGAATCCAGCTCCTGCCATCTGGATTGTGGTGAGGGGAGAGAAAGAGAGGGAGAGGTTATTCAGCAGGGGCACACATTCTACAGTCACGCATTAAAAGCTTATGACCTGGAAAGCAGAAGAGAGTCTTTGGTTGCATACTGTCCATATGTCTAACCATTGGGCACTGGAGGTGAAAGTTTACCTTGAGTTACATGCATAGGGTTCCTTCAGGTCATCCTGCTTTTTCAGGATTCCAAATTGCACAGCATGTGTATTTGAACATGTTTACAAACCCTACATATAAAAATCAAAGACTTTTAAGTTTTAGATGTTCGAAAATTCAGATTTTTAATGTTACTGAAAATTGCAAATCCAAGTTTCTCTTTAATTATACTAAATGTCAATATTAAATGAAGAGAAGTCCTATCATTAATCTCTAAATGGAATCAAAGGCTCTACCGGACTTTATTTACTAGAAAATTATCCTTAAATAATTTAAATAAAAATAAATAAATGTATTTTAAATAAATTATCCTGATAAAATAAACTACTCTAGGCAGCTCAGTAACTATTATAACTTACTTCTGCCTATAAATCATGGGTATTTCATGTTTTGTTTGTTACTTTGGCTAAACTGATACTCAAACAACAAAGGCAGAGTGAAGCAGAAAGGAACAACACTACAAAGAGACAAAATTGTCAAGTGCACAGGCTCTCAAACTTCTACATGCATATTCTGAACTCTTGTTTTCAACCAAGCTTTAGTTAAGGCTAGTGTGTAAGATTACAGCCTAAGCTTCGCACTAAAATAAATAAATTCAACTTTCATGGGTGCTAGATGTAAGAAATATTATGAGAGAATATATTTAAGTTACTTTCTCTATTTGCTAAAAAGAAAAACATGAAAAATATGTAAAGTGTGATAAAGAGATACGAAGTTGGATTGTAAGAATCAAACAGTGTAAATATTCTAGCTGCAAATTAATATGATTTGGTGTCATTGTTACAGCACTGTGTAGGAAATGAGTGTTAATGAAAATCTAATGAATGCATGCTCCAGATTACAAACACCTACATGCTATAATCTTGTGAATGCTAATTCACAATATAGTAACAAGCATTTCATTGTTATCATACTTTCTTTGATGTTTTTGAAAGACATTATTTTAGTAAACTCTACAACAGCTTTTATAAGGCAGGCAAGTATTAAAATTTGTAATTCTGGAAAATGAGAAATCATGAAGAACCCTTGACACTAGCATATTAGTTTTCTAAATGCATGGAATATTTTTGAATAAAGCATTCACTCATGGAAGACTTCGCCTGCAGTATGAAGTGGTAAATGCTGTCCTTTATCATCTCAGTGAGGTTAGAACTATATGTAGATACTAAAGGAAAAATCTTATAATCATTCATGTGTGAATAAGTTCTACTGCAGGGGTTTTCAACTTCAAGATGGTGGACACTTTGAGAATTTTGAAAGTATTGTGGGCACTCACAAAATGCCCATTACTGTCGTCCACCACTCAGACAGCTTTGCCTATTGGGTGGTATAGAAAATAAATTAATAAATGAATCTTCAGAAGGCAAACTGGTAAGGCTAAAAGCAAAGTAACTTGTGCAAGATGGTAAGTACAAGCTGGAAAGGCAGGTCCAGGCGCCAAAACACAAAACCACTTGTATGTATACACAATTGTTTACTCCAACACTCATTTCACAAAATTAACTCAGTCCAATGAAGCACCAATCAACAGTTTATTAGCCTCAAATACTAAATCACCTATTTGTCCCCACAGAGCATAATACAGGCAGTCTCTGAGTTACAAACATCTTGTACTTATGAACTGCCATAAAGCCTATTCATTAAAAATTACTGTGGAAAATCTCATTACCACAAGCAAAAAGAAAGCAAATAGTGAGAGAAGGAAGGCCTCCAAAGCATGCCCTCCTGCTCTGCCCATCCTGAGAGGGAAATCCCTCCAGCATTTCCTTACTGCAAAGAGGCGGCACTGGTGAGTTTGTGTGGGGAGATATTTGTGTTTCTAACCCTTAACTCCAGTGAATGAAGAGAGCCATCTATACCTGATCCAACTTGCATACAAATTCAACTTAAGAGTTTCCATTTTCTCAGGAACACAACTCATTTGTTACCCAGGGACTGACTACCTGTACTCATTTTCATAAAGGCCAAGCAGCACACACAGAGCACAGCCAATCTCCATATACTTCCGGCTAGGATGCTCCACACTGTCCTCCCAAGTTAACTGGCTTGGGGAGATGAGGGCTGGGAATGCTTCAAAACAAACATTAGGCTACAGCTGCCTGTCATTTATTTCTTAGAAATGCCTCTGCAATCCGACTCTGAAATGAAGATGGTAGAAGCTAACGCTTCACTTTGCAGCACCCCAGCCTCCCAGATAAAACAAATTTAAAAATCAGAAGCCTGGCAGGTGTCTATAGTCACATCAGTGCCCATGCATATATTGCAGATCCCACCCCTTAAGTTGTTGACATTATTTCACATAATATATGCATAAAACCTAGCCACCACCTTCCTTTTTATCATTGGTTATGTATATCCCTAGCCCAGGTACTTGGTCACAGAAGGGGGTGTGAGGGAAAGAGTGACACCTTTAAAGGCATGGCAGCACGGACTATTGTGCTGAATTTTGAAAGGGAAAGCAGAGAAACCCGTAGTCCACCCACTTTTGAACGCCTCTTACACAGAACCAACGTTGTGAAGCCAAGGCTTGCAAACCACAGCGTCTTCCACTTTTTTACACCTTCGCTGCCCTCTATCAGCAAAAAAATAGGAGCCACAAGTTAACGCCCCAACCGCTTAGGGCTGCTATGCTTGCTTGGAAAGAGCGCCACGGAACACAAAGGGCCTCCTCCTAAGAAAGCACGCATCGGACTGCACTGCCCAGAGGGAGGGCTCCTCTCCCTTGCCGACGAGCGGGAGCTGCAAGTCCCTCACCCGGTCGGGAGTGCAGGAACAATCAGAAACGAAGGGCCACTGGGAGAAGGTAGCGACGCGCTGCTCCTTCAGGTACAGCCGGAAGTCCGGCGACATCTGCGCGGCGGCACCACTAGAAGCCCGGTCCACTTTCATTGCATCCAAAGCACAGCGGGAAAAGCAACGGCTCTCACGGGCCGACGGGAAGTCCACGCCTAAGGGGAGCTGAGCATGCTGGGAACCCCGGCATTGGTGGAGCGCGGGCTTTAGAGCTGAGATCGCAAACCCCGCCCCCGTGCAGCCGAAGGGGGCTGCGGCGTTCTTTATGATCGATCGCAAGGCTTGTGGGGGCACAGAACTGGGCTACCTTCTGTGCAAGTTCTTGTAACCATTTTTAAAGCATTCGTTTAACACGCAGCTCGCTTTCTCTAGAAAAGAAACTCTGGACCTTAAAAAGAAAAGGAAAAAATCAAGAATTCCACACAATCTTTGCTTTCATCCCCAGTTCAAAATAAAGATATTCAGGTCATATACTGTGCAAGAATGGTGGAGATATGTTGGAATCAGGGTTTAAACAAATAAAGACAACTGGTTCTGTCCCATTTGAGAGAGAGAGAAACGTACAAAATACAAAAGATACAATTGAACAATACATTCATTTATTAGCACAAACAAAATGCCAAGTGAAACAGTACCCAGCTTTTGACTTCCCCAAAACTCTTCATTAGGCAAAAAAGTGTTCTCTTTTTAAGAGATGGGAATAAAAATGCAACTTTTAAAAATTATGTGTTTTAGCCATGAAATCTGCAGTTTAGATTCAGTCACTGGTAGGTGTAGCAGGTATCAGATTACATAGGGCATTCTGAGGCAAAAGTTAATGGCTGACCAGTTTAGGGGAAACAGAAGTGTGGCTGTAATTCAGGTGGAGAACATAAGTAAAGACAACTATTTTTCTTCATTTATTAGTATATTTACCATTCCTTTTTTATAAACCCTTGCCAGGACGCCATGCTGGCTTATATAGTCCACTTTCTGGTAGTAGCCTCACAACAATCCTATGAGGTACATTAGGCTGCATTGAGAAAATGCAGATAAATCCTGGTAGGAAAAGGCTTATATGTGCCTTTGTGTTATCAAATCAAACCTCTGTCTCTTTCTCAGAAAGCAGCAGAATTCCAAGCCAGGTTACTGTTTAGTGTTGCTGTTCCTTTAAGATGGATTTCTTAGCTGGAGGGAGAAGCTGCTGTAGGCTAATACTATCAGTGGGGAAATACTGGTGTTCCCATCAGCTGCAGGGAGCTGAGACAAAGACAATCATTTGTTTCCGAATGGACCCATTTAATAATCTAGTTCCACAGAGGCAAGCACCTGTGTAGTGTAGTTGTCAAACCAGTTTTCCAGAATGGATCCTCAATCAGACATATCTGCATGTTTAAACAGACACAGAGGCTGATCCAAACTGCAAGGAATCTACTGAACTGACATGTCAATAAAGTAATCAGTAATATTTTCCATACTATTGTTACCAGTATTTCTGATTGATTTCGAACATTATGGCATGCCTAAAGATATCAAGATGCTATTGTTCTAACAATATCTGGAAACTTAACATTCTGTATTGGTGTATGTGACTAGCAGGTTATAAAAGTGTTTGCACATGGGCTGTGACTTTGTAGTTGTGTTTGTCTCTACCTGGGAGCACGCTGGTCTTAGTTACTGCAGGAACTGGGGCACCAATTCAATAAATCCGCTGAAGTTCAGATATGTAGGTTTTCCCCATGAGTCTGAATGTTCATTCCTCACAAATTGAAAACCAATTTGTCTGTCAGCTGTAAGTCAGTAAAAGGCCCAAAGTCACCTAGAAGCTTCATGATCAAATGGGCACTGGAATCCTGTTCTCCCAAATCCCTGTCCAGAACCATCACTGCTATGCCACATGCAACAGCCTTTAGTTTGCATTAAATCACGGCATTAATTTTAGGTGGTGTGGTGCAGAAATTCTGAAGAAACTTTAGTGAAGCTTCCAATATACTATATTTTGGGTGTTTTGTTCTCATAACATTATTGCCCAATTGTAGATATTTAATTTTTTTCCCCTCGTGAACCAACACAGCTAACTTTGTTTTTAATGTACTTGGAAAAATACTGTATTTTGGCAAGTCATTCAAGAGTGGATTTCTAAGAGGAAGGAAGGATTATTTTCTACTACCTGAAGAGGGAGTTTGAATGTTTTGAGTTTCACTCCTTCCAACCACTACGTGATACTATGAAGTTTGGTTTCAATTCCCTCTTTTAGTTAGTGTCTGCTACCTAACCTAATCTCTGGCTTTTCTAATAGAAAGTGTGATGTTCTCTTTCTGCCATTTGTTAAGTGCCATTCCTTCACTGGCTGTTGGAACAAGATGTGTGTGTATGGGGGGGGGGGGGGGGTCAAAAGTATAACAGTTTAAAAAACAGCCATTTGGGATTTTTTAAAAAATATAGATAGGCATTAAAAAGATGAAGCATTCTTGGAACAGCTAGAAATGTGATTTTTTAAAAAGCAACATTTAATTTTCTGTTCATATTAAATTTTCTAGACAGAGTAGTAAGGAACAGCAAAAAGGCATGGGTAGACTGGGCCAGAAAATGAAATGTGCAGAGTCTTTAAGAGAGACAAGGCACAGCCTGATCCTATGCATATACACTTAGAAGTGAGTCCAGCTGAGTTCAGTGGGTTTTTCCCCCTGAGGCCATCAAACTTTGGATAGGTCATGAGAAGGCTAGACTCACTGGAAAAGACAGTCATGCTAGAGAAAGTTGAAGGCAGTAGAAGAAAAGGAGGATCAAATATGAGATGGATGGACTTCATAACAGAAGCCATAACCTTGAACTTGAATAACAACAAAATTGTGCATTGAATAGCATTTTAAGTTGCAATGGGATAATCACCCTTGTTGTTGTTGTTACGATGTGCTGTCAAGTTGAAGTTGTCCCTGACATATGACGATCCTACAGATGAAAGCCCGCCAGAATGTCCTATCTATGACAGCCCTGCTCAGCTCTTGTAAATTTAAGGTTGTGGCTTCTTTTATGGCATTTATTCATCTAATAGTTGGTCTTCCTTTTCTTCTCCTGCCTTCAACTTTCCCTAGCATGATTGTCTTCTCCAGTGAGTGATTCCTGCCTCCTCATAATATGCCAAAAGTATGACAGCCCCAGCTTTGTCAGATTTGCTTCTAGGGAAAGCTCTGGCTTGAACCCACCTAGAACCCACTTCTTTGTCTTTCCATAGGTCCAGGATATTTGCAAAACTCTCCTCCAGCACCATGTTTCAAATGCTTTTGTTTTCTTCCTGTCAGCTTTTTTCACTGTCCAGCTTTCACTCCCATATATAGTAATCAGGAATACAATAGTGTGAATGTTCTTGGCCTTGGTTTCCAGTGAAAGGTTCTTACACATCACAATTTTCTGAGGCAAATTATATGGAGGTGTTTTGCTTTGCCACTTCTATATATCTGTGTTCCATTCCATGTGAACTAAAGGATTGTAACTTTTACAGCAAAGCAGACCAAATCACAGGGCGGGGACACACCAAAACAGGGTCCCTTCTGCTCTCAGAAATAACACCCCCACGAGACCTTCTCCCATCATACTCTGTTGGACTTGGCCAAAATAGAGGAAATGTCTGGAGGTTTCTTCAGGCAGCCTTAACAGCCTGCTTGAGCTCGCTTTTGCAGACTGCTCAAACCTTCATAGGGGGAAGTCAAAGTTATGGCAGAGATGGCCTTTACAGAAGTAAGATTAAACTCCATTTTGGATAAGGCACGGGATGAAGTCTTTCTAGCATATAGGAATACAAACAATCACATTTCGCCACAGGTAGGGAGAGAGAGCCTCCCGGCAAGCTGCCCTTCCCTGCCTGATAGCCAGTGACTCCCAAGTAGAGTTGAGCTCTATGGGAAGGGGCTAGTTCGAACAAAGCGGAAGGGGACTCCATGGATGGAAGTTGGTTTTTGGAGATTCTTGTTGGTACAGATAAAGCGAAATCTGGCCAGGATCCAGACCTGGTTTGGGTCTGGGAGAAGCGGATCCCACATAAGTGTGTGAGCACCTCCCCCCCACCACTTAAGCTCATTCCAATTGCTTCAGTGACCCCATTGCATTCTCTGCTGTCCGTCAATTGTTCCCAGCATTAGGCTCTTCTCCAGGGAGTCCTTCCTTCTCATTAAGTGGCCAGAGTATTTGAGTTTCATCTTCAGCATCTGGCCTTCTAAGGAGCAGTCAGGGTTGATCTCCTCTAGGACTGATTGGTTTGATTGCCTCGCAGTCCAAGGGACTCACAGGAGTCTTCTCTAGCACCACAATTCAAAGGCCTCAATTCTTAGGTGCTTTCCATATGGTCCAGCTTTCACAGGCATACATTGCAACTGGAGAAAATCATGGCCTTGACAATATGCACTTTTGTTGGCAGGGTGATGTCTCTACTTTTTAATATACTGTCTGGATTTGCCATAGGTTTACTCCCAAGGAGCAAGTGTCATTTAATTTCTTGGTTGAAGTCCCTGTCTGCAGTGATCTTGGAGCTCAGGCAAATAAAATCTGTCACTGCCTCCATTTTTTCCCCATCTATTTGCCAGGAACTGATAGGATCAGATGCTATGATCTTGGTTTTCTGGATATTAAGTTTCAAGCCAACTTTTGTGCTCTCTTCTTTCACCTACATCAAGAGACTCTTTAGTTCCTCTTCACTTTCTGTCATTAGAGTGGTATAATCTGCATATCTGAGATTGTTATTTCTCCCAGGAATTTAATTCCAACTTTTGATCCATCTAGCCCAGCCTTTCATATGATGTGCTCTGCATATGTGTTAAATAGGCAGGGGGACAATATACAGCCTTGCTGTACTCCTTTCCCAATTTTGAACCAATCTGTAGTTCCATGTCCAGTTCTCACTATTCCTTCTTGACCCACATACAGGTTTCTCAAGAAACAAATAAGATGGTCTGGTACTCCCATCTCTTTAAGAACGTGCCACAATTTGTTGTGATCAATAAATCAAATGCTTTAGCATGATCAATGAAGCAGAAGTAGATGCTCTTCTGGGAACTCTCTAGCTTCCTTCATGTTCCAGCGTATATTGGCATTTTGATCTCCAGTTCCTCTCCCTCTTCGAAATCCTGCCTGTACTTCTGGTAGTTCT